ATAATGTTAAATTCATCAAATGCTTTTTTGTCGTCTCTTGAGATGATTATATGATTTTTCTCCTTTAATCTGTTAATGTGCTACATTATATTGGAAAATTAATGTTATGCCAACCTCACATTCTGGGGATTAACTCATCTTCATCATTATTTGTTTTCTAGACCAGCCTACTGATCGTTTTGTTGTGGACTTTTTGCATCTGTGTTCATGAATGAAACTGACCTGTAATTTTGTCTTTCTCGTACATTCTTTGGGTTTTGATATCAAGACTTTAACGGCCTCAAAATGAGATGAGTTTGTTTCTTCTTGTTCTCTTCTCTGGAAAAGCTTGTTTCGGCTCGGAGTTGTTTGTTCCTTGAATTCTTGATAGAACTCTCCAGCAAAACTTTCTGGATCTCCTGTTTTCAGTGTTGTAAGATTTTTATCTACTGATCCATTTTCTTTAACAGTTATAGGAGTATTCAGATTTTTTGTTTTATCCTTGAATAAGCTTCAATGAGATATTCTTTTAGGAATTTGTCCATTTCATCTATGTTTTCAAATTTACTGGCATAAAATTATTCATAATATCCTCTTTTCAATGTCTGTGGTAACTGTCATTATGTTCCTCTTCATTCTGACATTGTTTATATGACTTTTTCCTTGATTAGTTCTGCCAAAACTTTGTCAATTTTATTAGCATTTTCAAAACACTCAGTTGTGAAATTTAGTTCTCTATTGTATGAGAGAGTAGCTGTGTGAAGAGGGTTGCTTGACTGAGGCTCTGTTCCCAGGTAGAAGGACACACCGACCTTGAGGGGCCTGGCAGGAGGGAGCTGGCAGCCTGACTGTCCTGCCAGAGTGTCCCCTTCGCTGATCTCAGCCAGAAGCCAGAAGGCAAGGGTGGTCTGTGATGTACTCCTGCATCCCGAGGCAGGGGAGCAGGCTGGAAACGATGGAGAATGGATTTTCAGGAGGGGAGATCTGTCATGCTCAGAATGTCCCATATATAGTATCTTTCATCGATTCTGGAAAATTCTCAGCCGTTTTCTCTTTAAACTTTGCTCTGCCTCACTCTCTCTCCTCCCTCTGGAACTCCAGTTAAACATGAACCACAAACATAAACATAAACCTTTTCACTCTGCTCTGTCCCTAACCCATCTTTCTGATTGTTTGCGTCTTTCTCTTTGCGACATTCTGGATAAATAACAGATCTCTTCAGATCTGTTTTCCTGCCTGCCTTCTCTCTTCAGCTGCATTTAATCTTCTGTTTATCCCATCCACTGAGTTTTTTAATTGTCATTAAATTCTTCTTTTGAAAAAGTTCGATTTGGTTCTTTTTCAAATTACCCTGGTCATTTTTTATGATAATACGATTTCCTTCTGCCAGTCCTTGGAAGAGAGAGGAGGCAACAGTGTTTTTCAGATTTTATCCAGCATCTAAAAAGATCCTATTATATCTGGGCAGACGGGCCAGCCAGGCTGTCTAGTCCCTAGACTGCTAGGAAGGAAGGTTTTTGCTTCTCTTTTCCCCAGCTCTTCTCCTTAGCTAATTAATAGGCTCAAGCTTTTCCTATTCTTAAAAACAAAACAAGCAAACTAAACCAAAAGATGACTCAAAAAACCTTTCGTCAGCCCTGTTGTCCTCTGTGGCTGCTGCCTTCTCTTTCTGTCTCCTGTCTCAACCCTTCTTCTCAACCCCTTGTGGGCCACCCTTTGCCTTCACTCCCAGCCCTCCGGGGCAGGATGCCCAGCCCGTCTCTCCACTGATGGTTTTCTGTAAGGTCAGTGATGTTGATGAATTCCACGGATGTTTTCAGTCCTTACTCTGTTTCACCTTTCCGTGGCCACGGTTAACCTCTCTGTCATTCTTGAAATACTCTTCTGCCCTGACTATTACTCACTAAAATTTCATGGATTCTTTCTCCTTAATCTCTCACATTGTTCCTCTTCTAACCTTACAGCCACAGGGGTTTTCAAGTCTTTATCATCTCTTATGTGAACTGTTAAAATAACTTGGTATAACTGCTTTTACTACTCTTTAAATAAACTATTTGTTGAATAGTGGATATGTGTGGCTTTCAAAAGATAGAAAAGATCGTCCAGTAAAAGCGTGACCTCCCACCCTGGCCTCCTCCCCCATCCACTTCTCCCTCCCCCGGGGCGGCCATTGTTAGCATTTTTCTTGTGTATCCTTCCAGAGAGATCCTCTGCACATAAAAGCATAAACATCTGTGTATCCTCACGTATTGTTTCGCTAGACAGGTGGAAGTGTACTAAACTCTGTTCTTTCCCCTGCTCTTTCCACACACCAAATGTGTCTTGGAGATCGCTGAGCTGCCGCATTCTTCCTTTGGACAGCGTGTGGTATTCAGCTATCCTGGTTGCTTCTCAGTTCTTCCCATGGTTCTCTCCACCTTCCAGCTGTTGGCAGAGTTATCCTTCTACACAATAAATGTGATCATGTCACCCCACCGGGTAGAAACCGTCCTTGGCTCGCAGTCCTCTGCGCGTGAGGCTCACAATTCAGAGCCTCTTGGTGCCCTGGGCCACCTCGCCATCTCCCTCTCTTGGCGCTTCTCTGTGCCCATCTCCCACCAGTTTTGTGCTGTGCTCTGCTAAGTTCCCTGCTCGTCCCTGGCTACTCACCACTTTCGAAGAGGCCATGTGTGTCCCTATCTTTGCTTATTCCTTTTCTCTGTTGGGAATGCCCATCACAGTTTGTTTAACCAGCGGTCTCCTTAAATCGTAAACATCAGCTAGGGCTTGGCTTAGCTGTCACCTTTCTGCAAAGTCTCTGAACCCTCCCGGGAAGTGAAGTATTGGCTGGCCTTCCTCTCTGCTCCCATCTTCCCTCTAACGGCAGGGAACACAGTCTACGCATCCGGGTTCCATGAGAGTTGGTGCTACATGGCAGAATTACTTGTGGAACTTTTAAAAAATACACATGCTCAGGCTTTTCCCCCATGGATGTATTCAGTAGGTCCGGCACTGGGTCCCAGAGAGTCTGAGACGTGGCCGGGTGAAGACCCACTGCCCAGATCAGCTTCCACTGCGGAAGAGATGACTGGTATTCATCTGTCTTTCTCTAGAACCTGGAATCTGCTCAGTGGGAAGTAGAACAATAAACATGAAAAGAATATGCTTAGGCTGGAAAGGAATAGGGCTCAGGTGGAAGCTGGTGTCGATTGATAGGAGGAAACTTGGATTCTGAAGCCTCTGGGGAGTGGGTTAAAGTTGATTGCTTTGAGGAGAGTGGTGACATCTAAGTGGTGTCTCAGGATGACGCCAGCACAGAATCCAGCAGAAGCACAGAGAAGACGAGAAGAGTTAGGTGGCTACTGCAGTAATGCAGGCAGGTGGTAAGATGGTCCTGACCTCGGGAGTGGGACTAGAACGGAAGGGGACACAACTGACATTGTGCAGGAAGGTCAGCAAGGCTGCAGCTGGTTGATTGTGAGTGGCAGGAAGGGGGAGGAGTCAGAGACGTCTCCAAGGCTGTGTTTGTGTGACGAAGCTGAAAGCCACTGTGCCTGCGGATGGCTCTTTGACGAGCATAATCCAGCTTTGGGGTTTGGCAAGTGATGGAAAGATGGAGTTACTTGGCTGCTCTGTAGACCTGACTCTGGTGATCTGGAAGTTAGACGGTGTGAGGTGATGGTGGAAGGAGGGCTTTATGCATACCCTCTAGGTCCTTCTAGGTCTTCTGGAATGAACAGGGGAAGATGAGGAAGAGGAGCTGCCTTCCTCTCTTGGCACCAGGGCGCTCAGTTCAGGGGGCTCACTTGCCTGACTGCCACAGCCCCACCAGATCCACCAGGATCCTGACCTGCCCTCCCGGCCGGTGGAGATTTGCTAAGACTGTAGATCAGCTGTGGCCTTCTCCTTGTTCTCCCTGCTCAACTGGTAAACTAGACATGACCAGAAAAGGCTGTTACTAGTAAATAATGAGAAATAAATGCAGGAAGTGTAAGAGAATAAACAGAAAATGAGCGCGAGGAGCTCCCGTTCCTGCTCCTGTGGCATTAGGCTTGTTGTGACTTCTTAGTCACACTTATTCTACTTTTTTGGTAGAAGCCAGGGTCTTCATCTGTGGGGCTATCTTCGTCTGACCCTGGTGTCACTTTTATAATGTGCACTGTTTGCAGACCCAAAAAGTCATCCCTCGATGAGACAAGGAGTCTGACTATTTTATAGTGGTCATGACCTTCCTAGACTCATAGCTGTGGTCCCCATTGTCAGACTTGTCTCTCCTGGTCTCGTGCTCTTTATGCCATTCATTGTATTCCCTTTCCAGGGCAAACCAGAGAGGAAGGCTGCGTCCTTGCCCTTCCTCTTCAGAAAGCTTTGCTCCCTCCACAGTAGGCCTCCCACGGAAGTCTTCATTTCTAGTTCCTAGGAAGCCCCTAGTCCTCGATTCCGTAAGAGATCAAAGAAGATTAGCATCTAGAACCTGTGAAGGATATGGAAGCAGGCTTTTCACTTTCTCCCCCGCACACCTCTGCCTTCTGGAGAATTCTGATTAGCTTCCTCATATTCTTTCAAGAGAATAATGTATAAAAGTCTAAATGTTATAGTTTTACAGTGTCAAAATGGCTTTTAAAATTATAATAGCACGAGAAAAAGGTGTGCTCTCGAATGATGTGGTCAATTGCCGCCCTCCATCCACACTGTGAGGGCCTCAGAGCACTATCCCGACCGCGCAGACCTGGGGCAGGCTGCCAAGTCCTTTCCCGCCCACGAGGCGGTCCCACTGGGTCCCTGCGCTGTGTAGGGGAGAGTCAGGATTCACTGCCCCGTCTTTCATCTCACTCTCGTTGGGGGGAAGACATGGCCCCCATCCCTCCCTTCCCTTGGAGCAGAGATTTACCGAGTGTGCTTTCTCCACAAATGGTCATGTTTCTATTTCAAATTATTACACACACAATCATGCACACACACACACACACACACACACACACACACACCCCCAAATGGCCGCTATGGTTATTTTAGCTCCTGTGCCCCTCAGTAGTCCTAAAGGGGCTCATTAGGCGACCTGGCTGCATTTTCAGTTTAGGAAGAACATGAGCATCCATCCTTCACTCGCCGTCATCTCAGGTCACATGTAATCAACAGGAGGCTCATTCCCTTATTCCCTATTAGTCTTCTTTGGTCTTCTAGAAAGTTTTGTTGAACTCAATTGCTTATCGTTCTGAGACAGAGCTGAATTTCCTGATAAAAGAGTCAGAGGACTCTATGAAACTAAGGGGCTAATGGGGACTGTCTCAATGTCTTTGCTCCTGAAGGAAAAACATGAACTTCTGGATAATACTGACTTCTGGCGCCTTAACGTCTTCTGTAGAAATTGCAGTAGCATCACAGTTGCCAAAATTCTGGAATCTCGGAGATGTCAACCAAAGTTCCATTAGTAATTTGTTAGGTCTTGTCACTTCACCTCAACTCTGAGCTGTAATGACGCTGCAGAAGGAACCATAATTTTGTAGTGTCTGAGGCAGAAAAGACCAGGATTAATAAACAGCACAGGGAGAAGCCTGAGTCTGAGTTGAAAGAACATGAAAATACAGACCCTAAGAGCAAAGGAAGGTGTCAGAACATTATTCTGCCAAATTTTCAGCACTGAAGTAATTTTTAGTAAATCCATCTTTTCTTAAAAATAATTTGTACATCTTCATAATGGAGAAGGATATAAAAGAGAAATGGAAAGCACGTCACTAAACAGTTGACCAATTAGGGGTCAACCGGGGGTTCCTCATCATCATTGTCTTAGGGTGGAGACTGTGAATCCAGATGACTCTGACTCATGCTCAGCCTTTCGTTTTGGGGAGATAAGGCATTTGCTGGCTGGGCTCACTAACCCTTGTCACTGTGTGCTTGATTTCTCTAGAGTAATCCACAACTTCGGAATGGGAGCCTGGCCCCTTCCCCACTTCCTGTGATCAACCGGGGCTGAGGTCTCTGTGGGGATGCCTATACACCACCAGAAATCAGACTCCTTGGAGATGGACTCGGACTTGCCGCCCAGCTGCAGGCTCAGCGACCTGAGCAGAGGGGGCAGTTTAGAGAGTCGAAGCAGCAGTTGTCGCTCTAGAAGTTTCACTTCGGTGAGTGGTGGTTTTCTCTAATGCTTTCGTGCGCTTCCATTGGCCGATTTCACCCCAACTCCCTCCCCTTTAAGGAATATCTTATAAAACCTCTTGGGGTTAACTAGCTGGATGTTTTGGAATACTCACTTTGTGATGTGGCATTTCGTTTTTAGTCATCTTAAACTGTGCACAAATACAGAGCGGTACCCACGGCAGTGAAGCGAGTCTCTCTCTGTAGCCAAGAAGTTGGCTGCTCAGACCCAGAGAGGACGGGGCCTGAAGGCACCAGACCCAGGCAAGGATGCTGCTGCCTGTCAGTGCAAATGATTGAAAGAGAAGAAGCACCTCACAGGGTAAAAATGAATTCCGTTTAACACCGATTTTCAACTCCTTTACAGATATAAATGCTTTTGTATCCCTTTCTCTCAGAATCCAGACCCTTCCATAGCATCAATGAGCTTTGGGAACTTTTACAAAAAGTCTTCAGTTTTAGAGTTAAGAGATGACCTTTTTGCACTCTCTGCCTTTCAGGCTTCCTAGAGGGAAGGGCAGGAGAGAATTAACCTCGGACCTCACTAATACGGTCTGTTGTTTGTCTCCATCCGTCCGCTCGTGGAAGCACCAATTTCCTTCAGATACACTGAGCCCTCAAATTAACCCCAAAGATGCTGACTATGAGAAAGATATATTTGGTATAGACGGCAGTTAATAGTAATGATAGAATTTTATAGACTCCTAGTACTTGCATATTTTCTTTTTTTAAACCACCATGGTAGGATATAATAAATATTACTTGATTGAGTCACCCAAAGAGACATCTGTTACAGTTTACTCTCTGAATATCTGAAAACCTACAAATCCTTAACAGTGGAGAATGGGGGACTAATTTTTTAATTTAAAAATATATATAAAGAATACATTAAAAGACATGTTAAAAGAATATGTAGAAAAGACATACAGATGAATACTCCAGTAACTTGGTGGAGTGTATTCTCCAAAGCGTGGTTAGGAAGCAGTCCTGCTCTGATATAGAAGAATGTTTCTAAGCTTGCTGTGGCTAATTTAGGTCCAGTAGGCTAGCAGACCAGCTTGTGCAGGTGGCGATGGAGTAAAATTGAGCTGTTCATCAGATGGCCTTGGTGTCCAAGGCAATGAGTGTAGTGCATTAGGAGTCAGGGTATTCGAATTATTTTCTTGCCTTTCACATTCATTTTCTTGTTGAACTTGAGGCAAATCTCTTAACATCTTTTTCACCGTGGCCTCTTTTGATAGAGAACAGAAATAATCCCTGTTCTCCATCTTGCCCTGGGAGAGACCGTGATCCCAAGTAGGACAAGTGCTTTGAATTGGGGAAAGGAGAATTGCTACTTTTGTATCTCCATTCTGGTCATCGAGGGTCCATATGAATCAGTCAATGCCTACTTTTACTAAATCCTCTATGGCAGCTTGGACTCATATGCTCCCAAGACAAACAGGACTTGCTTGGTCTCTGCAAACTTGTCCATCGAGGAGTGGCCTTAACTGACTGTTCCGTGCTCTTTTGTGTGTGCGTGTGATTTATCCATTTACTCAAATCCTGAAGCACTGTCCCAGGAGATAAGGACACGGCAGTGGGCTGACATTCCAGGATTATGACTCCTGGTGACAGAAGAAGTTGTTGCAGATTTGGTTCCCCAGGCAGCAGACTCTGAGATGGAGATGAGGAGGTGAAAGGGCAGTGTTCCTGGGATCCATATCTGGAAGGAGGAGGAAGCAGGATTGGGCGGAGAGAGAAGTCAAGCTGTGATGGAGACCCAAGGACAGCCTTAGCTGCTCCCGAGGAAGCTCTGGAGCTGGGATAGCCCTTCAGGTGTCCTACATTGGGTTGAGAGTGGAGCCTTAGACACACTCAGTGGTCAGCCATTGGATGCAGGACACCCCCTGGGAGGAGGCGTGACCTTGACAAGACAGTTTCTTTCAGCTCAAGACAATCCCCAAAGAGGATGACTCTTCCTAAGCATTGAATTAGCAGCCAGGTCCCCTTGAACCAGTGAACTCTCTGCACTGTTACAAAACTGCTAAACTTTTCTTAAGTTCATTATCCTCATACTCTACTTTTTGGGAGTCTATGTTTGGAGAGGAGGTGTACGTTTTTATCCTAAGTCCTCAGGTCTTTTTATGACTTATCTCTTTAGAGTGAGAATCAACCATAGTACCTTCTCCTCTCACTGCCCTTTAATCCCTGACCTCACAAAAGATTAGTCAGTAATCTTTTTAGGCCTCCAAATGGTTTGGTATTAAATGCACCTCTTGGAGGACCCTTTAAGTAAAAGATAACCTAGTTCCTATTTATAGAAATATTTCTTTTAAGTAAAGGTTATTTTAAAAGGAAGATAAAACATTCACGTCTGATGTTAAATGAGAGGATCCTAAAGTCTTTAAACGCTAGTCAAAGGTTGCCTGGATCGTTGCTCTTGAGAAACTCTTCTCCTGAGCCAGTGCCAGTTAAAAATTAAAGTAGCTGCTTAAATAGGATTCTTACACTACCCATATGGCCACCGTTACAACCAAGGCTGTTCTAAGAGACCGAAGTGTGTGCAGTCTCTGTCCCTCAAGAGGCTAGTTGTGGTTGTACATGTATTTTGTTTTTCTTGTAAGGAATTCTTCCTCTGAACATTTTCTAGCAAAAGGTACGGCTAGAACGAGAACAAATTGGCCAAATCCTGAAATACTTGACTTAGAGGATATCTTCTGAATGTGTTTTTTCCTTTGAAATTTCTGAAGGACAGCTTTAATAAAATACGAGGCAGCATGCCCTGACGAAGTTGGTAGTGTGGTTCTGGAACTTACAACCTTGAGAGGTGATGTGGATTCAAAGTAAGAGGGTCAAGAAGGATTTAGAGACATTCGTAAATGATAGCTCTTTAAGGCAACAAAGGAAGCTTTGGGTGTAAGGTCACCTATATTTTTAGCCTCTAAGGCTAGTATCCCAAACACGCATCATGTAAAGCCTGCTGGCTTCCCCTGCAGGATCTTGGGTCCTTGTTCTGAGTGTGGCCCTGAGGTCTGCTCTGCCCAGCAGGCATCCCGGAGCTCCCTCTAGAAAAGAATATGATTTGGCTCATTGAAAAGAGTGGCAAGCTCTTAATACTCATGGTTCTTAAGGAATTTGGTAATATATATGCTTCTCTGAAGGTGGATTAGAAACATCCCGGATCCCGAATAGGAAAAATGAACACTTCCTGTTCATTTGTATCTCTAACTTGGGCAGAGACAGTGGTCCACATTCACTACTGAGTGTTTGGAGATTTACGATTCAGAGAACTGTCTTGAAACCTGTCTCCCTCAGCTGACAAGTGTTGTGGCCTTAGAGGCAGGTCATGAGTCTGTGATCAGACAGCGGTTGTCAGCTCCTGATGACCCCTTCATCCTCCCAAGCCTTCCGTGTCGTTGGGCCTCACCCATTCCTCATGGAACGAGGAGGTGAAGCAGGCAGTGGTGAGAGCGTCTTCGAGGCTGTGTTAGAGTGAAGTCTGAGACGCACACCGGAAGTCTGACATGCTGTTCCTGGAGGATTTCAAGGAAAGGAAAGAGCACAGAGGAGTGGACAGGAGACGCAGACCGATCAGCAGGAACCCAGCCTCCTTTTACTTCCTGCTCTGTAACCAGATGGAACCAAAACCTTCCTGGTCAAAACAGCTATTTTAAGCCAAAGCTAAACAGCTTGTATAAAAGTTCACTCCCGCAAACATTTAGTAAATGCCTACTACATACAAGAACCAATAGATGATAGAATAGAAGGCGGTTTTAATCTTTTCAGGAACTCACAATTTTGTGGCAAGACAGCCTTGGGAAGCCCTAGGACATGTGACCCAGCTTATGAGGGGTCTAGGAGAGCACGGATGATGTCATGCACTTAAGGCGTTTCCATCTTAATCAAGATCTCTTTATAATAGTGCCAGCTAAAGGAATTTAAGGCAGCCACACTGTAATCCTTTGAAGCCATTATGCCTTAGATCTGTAATCAAAACTGTACACATCTCTCATCTCTCACTGGTCTGTTTGTATCTCTTTCCTGCCACAAGTACAGGTTTAAGTTCACCCTAGTGAAAAATTACAACAGTGACTAGTTAGAAATAACCATAATTAAACCCTCACACTGAAACTGTGGGAAACGCATGTGCACTTACAGTCTTTCTTAGAAGGTTGCCAAAGTAAGCTTGGCATTTAAAGCTGGGTAAGGAACTACGAAGAGGCTGATTTTTATTTTCTTCTCCATTCCCCTATTCTGTTTCAGCTCCAGGGGCTTCTCTCATCAACTTAGGGTATTAAATCAAGAAAGCCTTGCTCAAGTGTCAGGAGATCATTTTGGTGTCTGTAAAAAGAAAATGTGGACATCAGATCACATTCTGCCAAAACAGATACCCTAGGCTGCTCCCTGGGATCCTGATGGTTAAGAGATCTTGGCTCATCTCGAGACATTTTTTTAGCCATCATAATCTTTTTTATGATGTTTTTTGTGTTGTTTTTTTGTCTAGTATAGAGATGAATTCTGCTGGTTCCGTTTTTCTCCCTCACAAAGAGTTGCCACCATTGTCTTAGGCTTCAGTTAAACCAAATTTCTTTGTTTACAATAAAAACAAAACCAAAGAAAAATGCCTAAGAATTAATTGTCATTTTTTTAGGTAGGAGTTATTTTAGTGTAAGGATTTTAAGCCTTCTCAACTTTTTTGTTCAACCAAACAAAGGTTTTTTCTACCATTTCCCCCAAGACAGAACTCCGGTCCCAGCTCTGTACTCCCATAGGGAGATCTCGGGCTGTTGACTTTTATAACTGTTGATGGCACTCCTTGTAAAGGTTTGTCATCCAACTTGTCTGCATGCTCCTCTCGGCGCTCCAGTGGGACGAGACGGACGTTTTTTCTGTCATCTGTGTGCAGGAGTGGATAGATATCAGCAAGACCAGGATTTGTCCTCCTCCTCCTGGGAGACTGGTACAGGGTACATTGCGATTACTTTAGTAGATTTAGCATTTTTAA